GCATCGATAGTCTTTGGTTTCATTGACGTCTCATTGAGCATAATTTCTCCGTACTATCTTCGTAAATTACAAGTGATTCGCGTGCAGTATATATATAAAATAGGTCCGTTATAGAATCTATAAAATTCCCAAATAATAAATTTAAAACATTGAACATCACATTTAAAATAAGAATTTATATGATTGTTATTAAGTTATTAACTTGTAAAGATTCAGAGAAAATACGTTTTTGGCTGATGCATACCATATACTGTTACGTTCGTCTAGTGGTGATATGTAGTTTTGACCGTAAATAAAGTAGGCTAAAATCCCACGATGTTTTCTTTAATCGTCCTTATTAAAAAAAACCACGCATCTTCAAAATAGAGGGCGCAGCCTCATCACAATACCAACATCATTCACCAGAAAGGTCGACTGTATGCACGATTCAAGATTCAGTATAAATTTATTGCAAAACATATACATATACATATTGAAATATACAATTCATATAAAAAGAAAAAAGACACATAAAAACATCAATAGTAAAGCAGTGTTTTAAAACAATGCAAAATTACATTATTTATTGGCGAGGGAAATTGTTTTTTTCATTCAGATTTTCAATTGAAACCTAATAACCTAAGTAGGACTACAGCAAATAATTAAAATAGTTAATTATCTTTTATCAGGTTTGTTTTTGCCTAATTATGACTTATCTTGTTTACATCACTTTCATGTCAATTTGTGTTCAGATACGGCGCATTCTTCTTCATGACTATGAACATGGTATTTAGCAACATGAGTGCTGTACACGTATTCATCAAAGAGAGAGTCGTTTTCATGTAAGTAGTATAAATAAATGCTTGTACAGTACAGTAGCCTACTTATATAGGGCTTTTCACATGCTACGTATAAAAACGATTTCGACATTAGTTTTCCCCTAGTCATTGGATTCACATGGAACACATGTAGGCCTACAACGTGCAAACTCCTGCCCTCTTGAGAAGTACTCTTAGTCGCCGCATGCAGTGCATTGCGCAAACCAAATACTCAAATTATAGCATGCACATCCTTAGGCCTACCCTATTATAAATTTTGTGAGATAAACGTGGTTACAATTTCTTTGCCACACAGGCGAGTTGCACATCTTGAATAGTTCTCTTAATCACCATAATTATCATTATAACCATCAACATCATCATCACTTTTCAACAAAGCCATTTAATATAGACATATATACACTATATATATATATATATATATAAGATGTGTATAACATATATTTTATATATATATAATATAATTCTCAACTTTTTTTTAACATGGTGTAACCTATATGATTTTTTTCAGACATGAATCCGCAAATGGCTTTTATCGCGTTTCGAGTTTCTTCTTTTCTAAATTTTTCTTTGATATACTTCCAATGCGTGTTTTCCCAACAATTTTATTTTCTCTCATAACCTATTGGATGATTGGTAAGTTTTCAAAATGCAGATAATGTTGTTTAATTAGCTTGATGTTGACGGTCGTGTTTATGACGTTAATTATGGAGATGATGATAATTATTATGAATAGATAGAGTAATGATGACTATGATGGCGTTGTGGTGATCATAAAATTATACAGTATTGTATGATGATGACAATCATGATGATCGTGGTAAATTGTTTTAGGTGTTGATGATTCTTTTGGACCATGGTGATGAAGACAGTGATTTTACCGTATTTTGGGTGAATGTGATGATTTTAATGCTATGTATGACGACAAATGTTATTGTTGGTGCTGATGAGATGACTGATGAGTGTGGTGATAATTTGTACGACGATGTCTACGACGATTTCACTGAGCTTAGTGGCTGTGGTGTTGGGGAGGATGATGTTGGTTATTCTTATAAATTGAACTTGTAATCATTGCTCATTATTTTTTCGAAGACGTGAAAATATGTTTAAGGTAATAATATTTGTTTTAATCATTTCAAAGGTTTGAGAGCAGAGGCTGACAAGTACTTTATTTATTTATTAAATCTAATAATGACAACCACGGCTGCATCTACTCTGGCGTTGTGTGTCGGTGCTCGCATCTCCACAGTTAGCATCGCCACTGCGTTGATACCTATGTGTTTCGTCTTGATGTTGGTAAGTGATTATGCCAATTCGTGGTTCAAATTGCGCTTGCCCTTTTCCATGGTCAATCGATATAAACATATGTCGCTCACATCACGAACTAACACAACCCAAGTAGATTGTGTTAGTTCGTGAAATCACAGTAGCGCGTCAAAACGAGCGCGTATTTGTTGTCAAGCTATTTTGTATTCTTTACCACACAAAAAGTCCTTAACAACAACAGCGCGTATTTTGACGCGCTATCTTGATTTCACCAAAGAGTATAAATAGAACTATTCATATTTATTTATACTCTTTGATTTCACGAACTAACACAATGTTGTGTGTACTGTATATTTTTTTAAGTCGATTGACGTTGATACGAACTACGAATTGGCTTAGTGAATTGTTTTCCAAAATTATCTCGATCACATAACGTTAAATGCAATTCTATGATATTATACATTACAACTGCTTAAGATTGCATATCATTATTTCTTTAGGTACTTTTTTGTTTAATGGGAAAACCAGGAAGTAAAACAAAAACATGACTAAGTTTATAACACTTAGGAAAATGGATTAGAATATCCCAACCAACGTTGAAAGTATTAGCTTTTATAAGGAAATATAGACAGCTGTTGGCTTTCGAATACGTGTATTGTAATTATGATAGATAATCTTAACATGGACTATGGGCACTATTTTAGCAGTAAATTTATTCATTACAAAAACAATACATTTCTTTACAGATTTTCGGCGGATTATTTGTAAATATCACATCACTTCCGGTCTGGCTGGAGTGGTTAAAATACATCAGTATCTTTAGATACAGTTTAAACGTAAGTGGATATTTTATTTTAAATTGATAAAATTTCTTATAGACCTGGTCTGAACGTTGTGTGAAAATAGGTTATTGTCATACTGTACTCCATTTGATCGTCGATGTACTGTTAAGTTGGCTTCCTAATAATATAAATGTAAAACGACATCAGAATAATATAATTCTAACCTTCATATTAAACTAAAATTTGCTATAACATATGTTTTTATATGAAATGTTACAGCATCTAGGCCTAATTTATCTCATCAATTAATATAATTGTTATTCATTTGATTTTAGACTTTGTCAGTAAATGAATTTACCGGGATGACATTTGTAGAAGGAAATGATACGTAAGTGATTGTTAATGATAAATGTGCCATATCGATTGTTCTGACTGGTTTTTGTTGTTTAACTGGTTGGTTGTTTGGTCACTTGGTTGCCTGTTTCATTGATTGATTGGTTGGTTGGTTGGTTGGTTGGTTGCCTGATTGATTGATTGATTGATTGATTGATTTGAAAGAGGAAAATTAGAAATGGAATTAAAGAAAATTGAGAAACCCTTTGTATTAGTATTGTCGCTGATGTCATCGTCGTCGTATTCTTCGTCGTCGTCATTTTCTGAACCTATAGGAGAATGACTGACTCCGGGGTAATGGGCCCATTACTTTGATTTTTTTCTTTCACCGATCATTTTTTTTATGTTTATGTATGTCAAGCATTAAATAAAATCAATCAATCGATTAATTTATTATTATTATTATTATTATTATTATTTTTTTTCTATATGGATATTCTTAAATATTTTGTGTGTTTTTTGTGTTTTTGTCTCTGCTTGTTCATTTTTGCATGTTTGTTTTTGTCTCATTTGTTATTGTATTTTTTCTAATTATTCAAACATTTTTTTCTGATGTGCTTTATATTTTTAAGTTATTTTTAGAGGTGAAGACTGAAAGATGAAGCTTTGTGAGTTACCGTAAATATGCGTGGGAAAATACCTTTATTAAAATCTATAAAGGTACAATATTATTCATTGGTGGTAAAATAGTGGAGAGATCAAGTCGATGAGTATTTTGAAATACACTACACTGCCCGTTTTTGATGCAGAATATTTGCTGTAAGGATATTTTTTGTGTAATAACATACCGTAGAGATAGTTAGACTTAATAGGAAGATTACGTAACCTTACGAAAACAATAACGAATATGAATACGTCATCATCAATATCGTAATTCAAAAATTTATGACAGTATACTGTACGAGCTGATTATGAACCCTCATTCATGCAAAAGAAGAAAAGAAGTTTCTAAAAATTTGATGATGTAACCGTATTCGTTATCGTTTGCTAAAAGCTTGCTAAAATTCAATTTATTAAGATCATCGTTTACTTTCCGCAGATTTGAAGGGATTAAATACTTGGAAAACCAAGGGATTCCGACCGGTACTTGGGGTTTGTGGCAAAACCAACTTGCATTGTTCATCATGCAAATCATTTTCTTGACTCTCGCTTACATACAGTTAAGATTTATTCCTAAATGGAAATAAGGACCAAATTTGTAAACTAATTCCTCCATGATGTGACTAATGTAAAAATGTCTTTTTGTAATTTAAACTCTTTAATTTTTATTTTATTTTTTTTTTCTATTTTTTTTTTCTAATTTTATATTTTAGTACTTGATCTAATGCAGTATTTTTATGCCTTATTTGATAGCAGTCATCAAGTTTTCACTGATTTTGTTGTTGCCCATCTTGTACGGTTGTGCCTGTTATAAAAGAGAAACAATAAAGTTACTTACTCTTAAACTTTGAAGGAAATATAAAAAGAATATAACTTTACATTATTGTTTATGTTCATTGTAAATAATACTTACATACTATGTGGTGAGTTGTAATGATACCTTAAATGTTGTGTGGCTATTATCTAATATATACACTAATACTGAGGATGCTCATTCTATGCGTTATATGGTACACAGAAGTAGAAAAGACGCAATTGATTGACACCATGACTATAGCTTTGACGCAAATAGCCCCATTAGATAATAGTGTTGACAAATCAATATTCATATTTTTTTACTTCACCTTGGCAGCATAAATATAGAATTTGAAAAAATATGAACTAAATTAAAAACAAGACAAAGGGTTAGACAATCATAATATAAAATGCTGTATGAAATATATTTTAACCGTAGTTAAAATAACCTGGGCGGTCGACGTAATTGACTTTTTCTCTATAAATTCTAATTCCATAATTATTTCAATTAAAAATGTATTGCTTTTAAAATCAATCTGTGATTTATTTGTTTTACTGAAATGTACGGTTTTAATATGCGTTTGTTTGTAAACCGTGTAATGTTACTTTATCAGGTTCCAAGCATATTTGGATTGTGTTATACAACAGAGACCCGGTGTACAATTAAAAAAAATCGTAATTTGATTAGGCCTACGATTTATTTATTACCGTATCGAATATGTGAGTGACTAAATTTGATAGCAAAATAAGTCGTTTAGTCGATAGGTAATATCTCGTCAAATTGCAACTTTTCTGTGTAGAGTTGTTTTACTGAACAAAAGAAAAAGAAAATAATAAGTAAGAAGATGACGTTTTCATACAAATATAATTTGTTACTAGTTACTAGTTTTGGAAACACTCTACATATATAAAATTGGAAGCTTAGGCCCTATATATATTTGTTGAGACATTAATTTAAGTTATATTGTTTCAGTTTGTTGGATATGTATTTAAAATGTTATCATATATGTATATGTACATAACTGGGCCTTTGAGCTTTCTATATATTAAAGCTATATATTTGAAAAGAAATTTGAGTTTGTTCTCTTTATTTTGAGAAAATAATAAACAAGTGACTTTTTCTTCAATAGCATTCTTTAAAGAAAAAATGTAAATGTGAAGCGCTTAGAGGCATTGTGCATAAAGCGCTATATAAGAGCGACATATTACTATCTATTATTATTATTATTATTATCTATTATCTATTATCTATTATTATCTATTATTATTATTATCTATTATTATTATTATTATTATAGATATACTATAATAATAATAATATCTTTAATAATAATAATAATATCAGTTATCATTTGAATAACTAATTTGTATATTTAAGTAAGTTATTAAATTCAAATTCATAATTTGAATGAGAAAAAAGTTCCCCTGTATATTTTCCCCTGTGTACATTTGCATAGATCCTTAAATTGGTAATCAATTTAATGATTTGTAGTAAAATGTCTGTAAATCGGTGAAAACTACCGTTTTCGATCAGTGTCCGTTGCTAAAGTTAATATTTTGTTTTATTCCGTTATAATGTTGTGGTACAGGTCTCTCTCAATATTCATTAGAGCATTGTATACACAAAACATCATCTTATGTTGTGTATTACTTTGATGTAATATCATATCATCATCGTTTGGCGCACCGGATGTGGCTTGGACTCCCAACAATATTCATTAGAGCATTGTATACACAAAACATCATCTTATGTTGTGTATTACTTTGATGTAATATCATATCATCATCGTTTGGCGCACCGGATGTGGCTTGGACTCCCAACCTTGAGGTCGGGGGTTCGAAACCCTGGCTGTGCAAATCGCTTGTGTCCTTGGGCAAGGCACTTATCTACGGTTGCCTCTCTCCACCCAGGAGTACAAGTGGGTACCTGGTAGGTTCAAACACAACCTGGTAGGTTCAAACACAAGCTGATTACTAGCTGCAATATTATGGAATGATAATATAATTTCATTTACTAATTTAATTTGGTGTTCAATGTGTTTGATCCAATGACCGGGGTAGTAATGTGAAGCCCTTGTAAAGGCCCGTAAGCCTATATATAAGAACGACATATTATTTTATTATTATTATTTACAAAAAGCTGCATTAAAGTATTATAATGAAATCAGTACACTAATTATATATAAATAATGAAAGGGTAATCAAACATTATTTACATATAAGGTTACTGGTTCCATTATATATAAATAAGGAAACACACCATTATATATAAATAATGAAAAGTAACTTACAATTATTTATATAATAAGTTCACTGATTTCATTATATATAATGAAAAGGTAACAAATCATTATATAAAAATAATGAAAAGTAATTTACAATTATTTATATATAATAAGTTCACTGATTTCATTATATATAAATAACGAATTGACTTCAAACTCATTATATATAGATAACTGCTTTTACATTTCATTATATGTAAATAATAGCTGTCGCAAAACCATTATATGTATATAATGCTTGGACTTCAAACTCATTACCTGTACATATAATGCACACGCGTTATCGTGTCAAGGTCATTATATCTAAACCCCGAATTGGGGTTTAGATATAATAAGATAATTTAGATACGAATACCCGCAATTGCGAACGGCTCTGGGCCCGTGCCGCACGTAAATGAGGGACTCTACTGTAATGGTTTCTTACTACTGCCAATTATATATAAATAACTGTTGAGGTCGAGTGCCATTATATGTAAAAAAAAATCGTAGGAAGCCATGGTTTAAAAATACAGTAATTCGTTATGCAAATTACGAAGTAATAAATATTCATCAGTGCTCTAACTTACAATTAGGGCCTATTGTGTGTGGTCTACAGGTCGCAGACCATCACATATCGAAAATGGCACAGCAAGGGATACAGCAGATTATTGAATCTGCTGTACTGCAAATCTCAAATCAATTAAGAGAACCCCAAAGTGAACGCCGCGGCCATCAGGAATCTCGATTTGAGTCTGTCGTGTCTGGGCCCCGAGCAATGTCCGGATTAGCTGCTCTGGTGATAGGCATAATACCGAGGTTCATCAACTTTGGTGTTCACTTTGTGGTTCTCTTAATTGGTTTGAGATTTGCAGTACAGCAGATTCAATCAGTGATGGAGCCAAGATCTGCCCGACGGAGGGGCTAAAGGCCCTGACGGGGGTGGGGCTAGTGGAGCGAATCGAGCCTCACTTAGTGGGGGCCAGGGGCGGCCTACAGCCCCTGTGGGGGTCCAGGGGATTCACCCCCTAGAAGCCACGGATATTTGACGAATTATGGCGAATTTTTATTACTTATTTGATAGGCATCGAGCTACTATAATATGACTTCATTTAAAGGCTATGTTTTTCCACGGATAGGCCTATTTGACGAATTATGGCGAATTTTTATTACTTATTTGATAGGCATCGAGCTACTATAATATGACTTCATTTAGGCTATGTTTTCTAATGTCGAGATGAGCTTCCAAAACCAAAATATTTGAAATAAAACAAGAAACAAAGAGTATGCAATGTAACCATCTAATTTATTTTCAGATCCTCTTTCCTCAAAGTGAAATCCTACATTTTGCACGAAATCTGACAACACGCTGTCAAGGTCGAGGTTGCTTCTATCGCGATGTATTCCAAACATTATGAGGCTATCCGAACGAGCATTTGTCGTAACAGAACGCAGATTATTTTTAATTAGTCTAATTGAATTCAGTAATTCTCATTTGTATGTCTCCCTTATTTATGCCCTTTTTGATTGTTTTTGTTTTGTACGTTTCCCTTTTGTAATTCTGATGTAATGTGTCCTGCTTTTCATTTTGACTATTAAACTGGAGAATTTTAAATATATTAAACTTTTTTATTATTATTGCATTGAATTTTTCTGTACATTTCAAATTTTCCTTAAATTTTCCATAAAGTTATTTTGAATTTTGAATCCCGGATCTTGCAAAAGAAAGGTCTTGCCAAGCTTGGATACCTCTATACTCTATACAAAAACGCATTGACGTACCTATTATACGGTATTACATGAACATTTTGGGGCGTAGTTTAAAGTCAACTAAGACCATGCCTTCAAAAAGGGACACAAAAATAGCAGGTGACATTACAAAAATCATTGAGATGGTGAATAAGCTCACAAAAATTAACGAAAACCGAAGTAAAAAAAATAGAGGAGCCTCAGTAAGCCCTATAATTTTAAAGTAACTCACAGTATTAAAAACCTGTTAAAATTCATTAAAATTCTTTTTAAATGACCTAACGTTAATATTGAGAACAGAAAAATAATGCGAAATCATGGTAGTATTGTTCAGGTAATTCAGAGGAGTGACGTAGTTGTTATTCACATTCACCTCAAGCGGATTCATCATCGATGTCAAGATTCATTTAAAGATGTTAAGGAATCGAGGCATCGGATTGATATAAACCATGCTATATTAAAAAGATAAACAAAAAATAATGTGGACAACAAATAGTTAAAAGGCAATTACTTTTAATTTATCGCAATTTACTGTACTGTATTGTATTGCATTAGCAAATAACAATTTCTTCTGAAGTCAGGATTTAAATATCGTTCGAAAATATAAATATAAAACAATAGAACAGACTGAACAAATCAAAGGAGATGACTGTGGTGTAAAGGCAAATCGCATGTACTGTACGTCAAAACATGGAGGAATTAGTTTAGATTCTAAACTAATTCCTCCATGGTCAGAACAAGGAGGTAGGCCTAATACCTCCTTGGTCAGAGCATGGAGGTATGGTCAGAGACGGTGCTCGTTGTAGATTCCTAGCATATTAAGTAATGGTTTAGGGAATTCCCCAGAAATTCCACTAATTGCGAACTCAATGGAACAGCTCTCTTCATACGTACGTCACACAATATTTAGTTGAACGTACGAGAAGCAGACGCGGTATGTGATAATGAATTGGTAGGCCTTCCAGCAGTGCCGTCTTTGTTTGTGTGTGTGTTTTTTTTTTGACAGCAATGTGTCATCATTTTGTTATTTGTAAGTTATCGCTAGTTTATTTGCTCTTAATCTTTGCTGATTGTTGGCGTTCATATATTTAACTAATTCAGTGCACAACACTGAATGATTTGGACTGAATTATTTAGTAGGCTCTGGCCATCATCACGTTGTTATCTAGTGGTAGTGCTAAGTGTGAAGCCCATGTTCATAGAAATGCGGATAGTTCCGGTTTCTGCAGGCCGTTCATGACGGGCCTAAAGAATTTATTGTTATTAATATTAATATATTTGAAGCCGGTGTTTGTATTATTGGTGTTTGTGTATTATTTATCACTGCACCTTTTTAAATAGGTAAGCACCTTAGAATTTAGATAGATGTGAAACATTAAAAATACTGGGTTATTTATATGGTATGTCTTTTTCTCTTTTTTTTCATAGAATTGGGTCAACTGTTTGACAGTCATGTCAGTTTTTTCAGTTTTGGTACTTGCTACTACGATCTCTGTCTCTTTACAGGTGTGTTTTATAGCATAATTCATCATCTGTTACGCATGTTCATCTTTTGTTACCTCGTGCCCTTTCTACTATCTAGTTCCATGACTTTAGGCCAAGTAAAAAAAAAGTAGTTTCTCGTCCTAATTTTTTTTTTTAAGAGGATGAGGGCGGTTTTTTTTTTCTTTAAGAAACAAAAAATAAAAGGGGGCGAAATAAAAAAAAAGCATGCTATCTATGTAATTTTAATTATGTTGTAATGTAGTTTAAATGTTGTGATGTAGTTTATCATGCTAGAACAATCAAAACAAAACAAATATTTAAATTATAAACACATAAATATATACACCTAGACTACAAATGTAAATAAAAAGATCATGTAGGCATTTAGAATGTCAAGCATAGTAGGCTTTCAATGTTCAGAAATAAATCTTGGCCGTTTGGTCCCGAGTTGTATTTCAGCGATGCAACTCGAATTATGTACATTGTTTAAATAGTATAACTAGGCCTAGAGTTAATGTACATGTACAACCAACCAATACTAATACTTGTGCACTTTTGTGTATTTATCGGCTGTTGGGCCTTCGCCATCAAATTGGCCACTGGCGTATTCATTGAACACATCTGCCAATGTCAAGCTATCTCATTTACAAAACGACCAAAGTATGGCTTTAAAAATTTAGATGGCGGATCAGTGTGTGCACGTATGCACACACATATGAATACCATTGCAAAACTATTAAAAAAGAAGCAACTTGACTATACAGCAAAGATAAACAAATACAGTAAATAAAATCAAACGCTTTCCTTCATGGTTGTTTCTTCTTGTTATTTATCACGCCAATAGCTTGCTAAAAGTAATGCGGCCCAACATGATTTAGACACGTGATACGGATATTGCAATATGTTTATTGGTCAATTCTCTTTATAATTAAATCGTATGGTTTAATTATAAAGCTAATAAATGTTTGCATGATAATACCTACTGTAGCAAACATACAGAGTAAGAAGACAAAAACAATTTGAAGGTCTAGCCTATGTCTGAATGTGAACTAGGCCAAGGTGATGAGCTTGCTTGATGGAAGCACTGCACATGCATATCTCTAAGCAGATTTCCATGGAATTTTTGAAAAGTCCGTATTCATTGATCAAAGAAAAAGAAAATTGATTGATTGATTAGACTGATTGATATCCAAACAGAAATTAAATAAGTAAATTAATACAGTAGTAGAAACGGATTACTTTGCCTTGGCTCACTAGTGGTATATTTTTTGACGTAAACCAGGTCAAATCACAAATTTTCGTGCAAAACTCTCATGTCACCTTGGTCCCCGTCATTGTGTGGTGGAGGTTTGAATTTTATTAGGTAATTTTTACCATGATCTATAAAAAATGAAACCATGACAGTAGGCCTAGAGTAACGGTAGGCGATTTTTAAATTAACAAAAAACACAAAAATTACTGAATGCCTAGGCCAATTGTAGACAAATTGCTAGGTAAGACCAGACCATTTGACAGCACTAAATTCGAAACCCAGGCTACTCTAACATGTGAAATTCCCGGCCCTTTCGATGCCGGTTACATCTATGGGTGAATTTTATGTACGTTCCAGCATGTACGGGGTCAGTGCCCCACTATAGACTGAGTCTGGGACTACAGTTGACAAGTACATAAGTGTAATAAAAAAAAAGAATGAAGTTGTTTGCCTAAGGATGAGGTCATTGCAACAACCTTTCAAAGGCAGATTTGAGGGGGGGGGGTGTCGGGTCCCACATTTGGCATGTAAAAAAAAAAAGAGGCAAAAGGAAAAATTGATAGCCTAAAACGCCTCAGAGGTTATATTCAGGCATCTAGAAAACACAAATTTTGACCCCTAGGGTGCTGTTATCTTGATCAGCCCTACTTTCGGCACCCCCCTTTTGGACATCTCTGGGTCTGCCCCTGAAAGCTCTGTCCACTATCAAAAACTGTTGTATGCCCATATATAGTCATGATGTGCCTAAATGACCATATTGAGGCATGTCTTTTAAAAGGCTGGACATTTGCCAATGCTGTAAAGTTGAAGGTAAGAGGGTATCTTATTTTGCAGGGCATTATCATTGTGCTGAATTGTAAGATAGAAATTTTAAATTATTAGATAGAATGTTCATTTGTACAAATTTAAAATGTCTTAAAATTGTAACAATAAAATGTCTTAAAATTGGGAAAAAAAAAGTAAGTGAATACCAATACATGATTCGAACTCACAACCTCTAGTTCTTTAGAACACATCGTTAACTGACCTTTGCCATCCATGCAACGTGTCCTATTTGTGGTAGTGGCAGTAATGTACAGTGCTTGCTGAAACCCCTGTTTTGTTTTGTAGGTGTATGAGGCACCCTAGGATCCAACTTAAAAAAAGGGCCATGAACATTTGTCGGAAATCCCCTCTAGTTTATGTGTACAAAATTTCCTGCACGTCTGTTCAAAACTGACGACGCGGATGTAAAAAGATCTATTAAACAGTCAGCAGTATTTCTCTAACGGCCGCCCATACAAAAAGGATCTATTAACCAATGACCAAAAAAGATCTATTAACCAATCAGCCGAGTCATGACCATATTTAGGCATGTCACATGTTTTTGTCAAATAAAATTTGATAGTGTGGACAGGGCTACATTTATTCAACAATAATAAATAAATAAATAATAAATTACAAATCTTCTTATATTTTTTTCGAAGTTGAACTGTGGCACCAATTACACATATGTTGTGGAATGGGAGCGGAATTGGTGCGCAGTACAAAATTGTTATTATGATGAAAAGACAGAGTCCTGTCGAGAGTGCTCGGCATGTAATCAAGTATTCAGATTGGAATCTGATGGACCAATGCTGCAATGCCTGGTAGAGCATAGCGATCATCACCTATGTGCTCCTTCTGAATTAAGTAAGTTTAGATGTTTCAATTATTATCACAGTGATCAAAGAATGTATTTACAGTATCATTGGCTTCTTCCACTATTGCAGATTTTTTCCCTACTTTTATCCCATTTCCTTATGTTTGTGCACAGGGTATTCTTCCAAGCAAGGCTGGCCCATATACCAGAGATGTGCCTAAAAAAAATTAAAATAATTTATCAATAAACTGTTAACTATATACTTCTAGTGTATTAAAATATTATAGTTAATGATATAAGTTTATTTAAGATAATTCAGTTTAGTTAATGTAGTTAAGTTTCTTTCAGTAGGCCCTAATGTGATTTTCTTTTTTAATTAGTCTATTTTTACCATTTTGTTTTATCAATTTTTGTTTTGTTGAGTTGTACAATGCCTTTATGCCGTTGTGGTGAACAAGTTTTTCCGTAGTTAAGTTTTCATTATTATTATTATTAGTGTCAGGTTAACACAATTTAACATAATTTGCATTGTCTAGTTATAGCTAGGTTTAACTCAAAATTTGCTGGAAAGCACAACCATTTTGTACTCATCAACCAATAAGGATAGACAACATAGATGTTTGCACAGGATACAGTCTGAAGGAATATTTATCTTTCTTGGGTCAGGTTCCTTCTTGATTGGGGTTCTGCACTAAATTGGTTAGAAGTGAGCTCTTCACCCTCACCATAAAAACCAGACTCTTGGTGGCACCAAATCTTATTGTATTATTATAAATAAAACCATACATTTTTAATGATATAATGGTGACTTCATGTCATGGATTTATTTATTTATTTATTAACTAACTGATTGATTGATATTTTCATTAATTAATAAATTGATTCATTGATATGGTGGTTGATGCATTGTTTGGCATGGATTTGTTGACTGATTCATTAAGAATAAAACGTCAAAAATACTTTATTGTCATCAATCATATAAGTGAACAATGACATTTGTTTTTCTAGTTGATAAAAAAAAATTGATATTTTCATTAAGTAATAAATTGATTTGTTGGTATGGTGGTTGATTGTCATGGATTGATTGATTTATTTATTGGTCGATTGACTGACTGACTAATTGATATATCATTAATTAATAAATTGATTGATTGGTGTGGTGGTTGATGCAATGATAATTTGATATGGTAGTGGTAGTAATTAATAATAATATTTATAGTATTTTTTACATTATAGAAATGTTTGTACTACAAGTACTATGTACATTTTCATTATAGTTATAATTAATAATTTTAGCATTATTTTATTTACTCTTATATTTTTACCATTACAGCATTCTCTAGTTTTTTTGAAGACAAAATGGCCCTACCTATCTGTTTCATAGCTAGTTTGCTGTTCACAATGCTGGTTATAGTGGGCATGTCTTCTATGGCCAATCACTGTATCCTCAACAAATGTTATTGGTTGCCAAAAATTCAAAAGACATCCAGATATATAAGTAAGTAACCATATGAACTGTATCTATTAATATGATATGAAAGATTGAAATGAAAAAGCATGAATAATTATCCTCCCAACGAAGTACTTTAGTAGTATGTTTAAAAAGTGGAAATCTGTCCTGTTTCATTCATTAGCTAATCACATGCAATGGCATATCTAGGAGGATGTGTAGGGAGTCATCATCCCCTAAAAAAACTTGCGCCTTCTCCCCATCCCTCCCCCCCCCTCATCATTCCACAAAAATCACGGTCAAGTATTTAAAAAATCACTGTAGTTTGGGAGCTAGTTCCCACTAACCTAATTGTTGAGGGCCCCTACTTCACCTTCACGTTCCCCCCCCCCCCTCCTCCCCCCATCATCCCCTTTTTTCAAGACTCTTATATACCACTTTCCCCATGGTTATGAGCCTTTTGTCACATTGGTTTTGTCCTTTGGTAAGGTTCTTCATCTCTCCACCCAGTAGTATTTAATAACAATTATAATAATTAGGCATTTGTATGTATACTGAAACCAGTAAATGGTTAGGAATGAAACTATATGCTTGACCCCCACCTCAGGCAGCAGAAGATGTATGTTAGGTGTATGTGTGTATTATATTGCATATTATGATTATTATTTATTTCAAGTGTTTTGTGCTGGGGAGGAGGTCCATCCAACCGAAGCTGCTCACATGCGCTTACATATGTACATATGTTGTTTTTTGCTCTTTATTTTGTATTCATTGTAAAGTGCTAGTGACAACTTCGGTTTAACCGGCGCAATATAAATTTTAATATTTATCTATCTAATCTATCTATATGTCCCTCTATACTTACAGAACGAGAAAATTCAACATACTGTGCAGTACAAATACTAATATTTAGATTTAAAAATCGTTTATACTTGTTTTTTTTAATTATGGTGAAATATCACCAAAAAAAGAAGTATTAAATGTATAAACAAGTAGATAACATAATATAAAACTTTGGTTCGCTTTTCAGGTGGTGAGAGGCTTAAAAATATTGAGATTCGGAAATTGTACCGGCATGTCGCTAAAAAGGTGGAGAAGATTGCTAACTCTCTGTCTATCCAAATACGGGATATAAAGCCAGTAGGTGGTGATCAATATTCCAGGGAAGAACTCAGTTTTCGCTTTCTTGCGAGACTCAGTAACAGTGAAAATGACATTGCCAAAATTGCGCAGACCTTCTGCAAAGTCGGATATGGTGAACTTCTCTACAGAGTATTTACTAATCATGATATAGGTAAGCCATGTGAAAGGCTAGTTCAAATCAAATCAAATATCAAATCAAATATGCATTTATTTTCCATACAATACAGTAATACAGTACAGTAGTTTAGGTTTCTAGCCCAGGTACAACAACCGTGGTGATTCCAGGAATTTTAAATAGATGGGCCGAGGAATAAACTTTTATAGATAGAGATTCAGACCACTACAGCCCTAACATGGTTCGGTCTGAGGTACAACGTTACATGGCTATGGCATGTATAGATGGCCAGAAATGGCACTCTTGAACTTAAATTTGAAATTTAATTTTCTACTTCCCCCAATTTTGGTTTTTAATTAAAGGGTGCCCAGCCACTTTGCAGTATAGATATTTTTGCTTTGGCTAATGTCCTCTGAAAATTTTGTCCATTTCGCAAGTACTGCAACTATCTTCCCAGTGATGGTCTGTTGTGAGTAGATTTGGGATTTGTAGCAAAATAATTTAGTGTAGGTTATGTCAGTTATTTTACTGTGGGAATTTCAAATTGAATTGAAAAACAGAACAAAATTCAAAATACTCTATATTGTTTTTGTAATACAATTAACAGAGCTGTTAAGTATGATGCATCATATATTAATTTTATTATGTACTGAGATGTTGATCTTAAAACACTTTTTTATATTATATTTATAGTGGAACCTGAAGTTCCAGATGATCAGCATGATTTGATGAAACGTAAGTTTACTTTAAAAAAAAATTATTTGTCCTCAACAAAATTGTAAATGTATAATTTACTCCTAAATATTATTTATGTTTTATAAATCTATGATGATCAACAATTAGATTTGGATTC